CTCACCATTTTATGTAGTTTTTTGCTTTGATCAGCACCTCTGCCATGCTTACTTGAGGATTTTTTGAAATGGAGAACATCAAGTCTTTTGACTACACTCTTCGACCAGCGATGAAAGCAGTTATGACAAATTTCTCATATGGGACGTCCATCTTCAGGGATTCTGAGTTAAACCTTTGGACATAGGATCGCATGTTTTCATTGGATCCCTGTTTTACATTCAAGAGGTGGTAGTTTGGCTTCCGATAGGTCCGAGCTCTTATAAAATGGGACACAAAAGAAATTGAGAACTCTTTGATGGAAGAGATTGATGTCGGGGTTAGCCTGTTGAACCACGCTAAGACTAAGCCCTTCAACGTGATGGCGAAGGCTCAGTATTGCACAAGGTCTTAATACCCATGCAACTCCATCTGGTTATTGTAGGTGTTAAGGTGATCCATGAGATCTCTAGTCCCATCGAAGGCCTCTATTTGGGGCATCTTGAATTTCGATAGAGGGGAAAATGTAACATCCCAGCGGTAAATAGAGACTCAGTTTGTTGTACCAAGGTATCCATTGTTACGAGGGCTTTCCCCTTACAGTTTCCTTCATTTGACTAAGCTCTTGCGGGACGTCCTTGAAGCGATGCTCCCAATATTGCTCTCTTCTTTCTTGTTGGATAGGGAGAAAATTATTTTTCTCGATTCCTTTGTTCTGACTTTGCCCATCTTCATTGTCACCATTCTTAGGAGGCGAAGGGGGGGGGGGGGGCGTGGATATTCTCACCCTCTTCGTTGACTTCTTTGAGGGGGTTGAGGTGCCGATGCTCCCCTTGTGGGGCGTCTCCTTGGGCTGATTTGGTATGCTGAAGACCTTGCTGGAGCTTCAAGAGTTCTTCATTCTGCCGAAGTAGACGCTGGTTTACTAGGTGAAGAGCCTCCAATTCATTATTCGTAGGGGGATCAATCACTGTAGGATTGACTTCAGCAGTGGGAAAGAAATCTTGAAGGTTTTCGTGTTGGCCGCCACTGGTGGCTTCTTGTTGGCTGTGGATTCTCGGGGGATTCATCTGATTTCTGCTCATATTGCGTGTTGAGACCATTAATCACTGAAGAATTAGTGTATTTGTAACAGGAACAATCTTTCCCATAGACAACGCCAAGCTGATGATGAAATACACGCGGGGAATAGAATAGGATGTGAATGACTAAGGTCTCACGTGAACTGCTAGGCTTGTGTGAATTTAAATTAAGATTCTTGGGGAATAGGGGATGGTTTGCACAACAAAACTATAGTGGTTCACCAGCTTAGGGATTCAGATAATTCACTTTTTAATAGAGTCTCTTGCTTCTTGGATCTATATTCCTCAAAGCAATTTACAGAGAATTTCTCTCATATTTCTCGGGGGTTGGTTCCCCTATGAATTGGAGGCGTCCTTTGATATTTATAGTCTAATTCCTAAGTTTATGGGATCTCCAGTGAGATCTTGGCCTTCCTTCCGAGGGACCTCCTTTGATTTTGGGAAAAAATCTTGGTTAGTTGAGAGTTTTGAGCATTGATTATAACTTTCTGTTGCTTTGGGGGGCGTCTTCCACTGATAAGCTATTTCCTTCTCATTTTCCTTATAGCCTACTCTGAGGGGAGTTCACCGAGGGGAACTCGAGGTCTAGATCATGGAGTTCTGGCCATTTCATCTGACCTCATTATCTGACCTCCGCACCCGAGTTCATACTTAGAATTTATTGTATGAATCATCAAGTTTAGGGTGAGTTCTTAAAGTAGTGAGTTCTTCAAGTCATTTGTCATATAAAATGACTGTCATATCCAGTTTCCCATTGACCAGATCTAGGGAGTGGAAGGTCAATGATTTGAGTTGTTACCTCCCATTAACAACATTTACCGGGAGTGGAAGGGTGATGGTTCGAGTAGTTACCTTATTTTGTCGTCCATTAGGCTTGGATTAATATGGTAAATAATTAAGTGTGCTGAAACGTGTAAAAGGACAGGATCTTAGCAAGACTGGGAGCTAATCATATGTGGCTCAGAGAAGATATGAATGAAGTGTTCCTTCTTTCCCCCAAGATGCTGTACTGGATGGATGATAACACAAGAGAGGCTTGTGGCTGCAGATTTTCCCAGCATTTGTCACTACTATAGCCAACTATAGCAACAATCAGATTTGTGGCCTTCAATTTAGTTTGGATAGGATTCGATATCTGGTAAAATTAGAAAGTATAAAATTATGATCGAGTATATTTGTGAAACGATAGATTTAGCCTCAATAAAATAGAAATGAGGAGAAAATTGCCTTAGATGCTTTTGGATATGTTCGTAAAAGACTGATTATTGCACTAATGAAGAAGAGTAATGTGTCATTTATTAGGTAAAACGAGAGGTAGAGTTGGATCAAAATTAAATTAAAATAAGATATTAGACAAGAAAATGATTTTTTGTGATTTGTCATAACTAATGACACTTTATAGAGTATTATAGAAGGACTAGTCATAACTCGTGCTTAAAGGCACGATAGAACAAAAAATTTGAATCCTAAAAAATCGATATCACTATATTAAATAATATTTTTTCTTTCTTTTATTTGTTTATTTAAATCATTCAAAATTTATTTTTACTCATTATTTTTTTAAAGATATTGAAAATTTTTTCTCAAAATATGTAATACGATAATTTTTTTAACAGATCTATACTATCGTGAATAGATAATATTTGAAATAAAAATTATGTTAAATTATAAATTAATCAAATATTAAATGGTTGATCATGCGATAAAAATAAGTGATGTGATGATTTTGGGGTGTGAGAAATGTATATGGGATAAAATTTAACTTCTTGTGTGTTTTATTATATAGATTTGTATAGATATAAGAAAAAATTTCATTCAACTCCCCTGTGTTAGGTCTAAATTCGATGACATTTTCTTCCGATTTTGAAGTTTTATTGTTACTCCCTGTTAATGATTGTCAGGTTATATCGTTAATGACAATTGTTGATTTATAGAAATATCTCCGAGTATTTTATGGGGTAAATTTTATCCACACCCCTTATAAATAAACCTAACTTTACCAACACCCCCTGTAAATAAACCTAACTTTAACAACACCCATTCTTGATTCTGAAATTTCAATACACTCCCTTTTAACTATATTATATTAGCCTTTATTTTGATCAATTTAATATTCAATTTTATCAAATTAATTTTCTTTTTTTAATTTAAACGAAATTAAACATTTCATCTGATTAAATCAACACAAAATTGATATTTAATTTTATCAAATTAGCATTTAGTTATATTAATTTAATATTTAATTTCATCAAATTAATATTATTTCTTTAATTTAATATTAAGTTATTATTTATTTTTATCAAATTAACATCAAATTGAAATTCAATTTTATTAAATTAAACTATTTAATTTATTAAATAGAATATTAAATTCCATTAATTTAAAATTTAACCTTATCAAATTTATGTCATTTCTTTAATTTAACACCAAATGAACATTTAGTTTTATTAAAACAACATTCAAATTTATTCAATTAACATTAAATTCAATAAAATTAAAACTAAATTAATATTTAAATTTATCAAAATTAAGATTAAATTTATTCAATTAATATTAAATTTTATCAAATAATTTTAAATTTTATACATGAAGTATGACATGTGAGAAGCGGTCGGGTGACGTTGTGGATGACATATAAGAGCAGAGGAATTAGAAATGGATGAGAATTTGACATTAACTTTATCAATTGTAATTTTTATTATAGAAAAATCATTTTTAACTAAAAAAATTATTATGATAAAAAAATATAAAAATTATAAAAAACTTGATTATGTAACCAAATGAGTGATAAACTGATAATATGATGACTAACATAATAACAAAGTTATAATACGACGTTTTAAAACAAAAAATTTATTGGGATAATATAATGATTGAAATTATGTTTGTTGGCTGACTAGCGCATATATAATGAGAAAAAAATTGATGACATTTTAGTCTATTTACATAATAAAAAGTAATTTTAGTATTGTCATAAAATATTTAGTTAAATCATTATTTTATTTACTGTGAGAGACAAAAGTTATTGTTATAGGAGTTGTCATTGAATTTAGACTCAACTACATGGTGTTTAGATGAAATTTTTCCTAAGATATAACATGTAGATATAGTATGTTTTCGATTTTTATACTATATATATGTACTATAAAAATGTGTGTGAGATATGAACAGTAAAAATGGAAAGCAGCTACATTAGAATAGGATTTTGGGAAGACGCGTGTCTCAGTTTGTAAAGAAAATAATGAAAGATGAGAGTGTGAGGGACAATCAATGTCTCAGTATAGACAATGATCCCTTAATATAGGAAATAAAATCAGGGAAATAATGATAAAAGTTGTAATCTGTATTTTAGGGAGAGAAAGACAGAGTTGAGAAATGAGAGATCGCTTAGTTGCCAAATTTAATTGGGTTGAGGAATTAAATTTAGGGATGTTAATTTTGGAAACTAAAAGTTTTGAAAAGCAAAAAATTTTCAAGAGCTAATATGGTATGTCAGATCGAAATAATCTGAGACGTCAATAACTTGAGATAGTTTGAAATATCGTCGGCTATTGAATGATGCCTTTTTTAATCTCAAAATGATCTGAACCGCTCTTTATCTTTTAAATTTAAAACCGTTATATTTTATTATATAGATAAGTTTAATGTAGCTGGTGAGTTTGAATAAAGCCCAAGTGGCTGAGTTGCGTTACAGCGGAGCCATCATTCAAAGCATAATGTAGGGGGTATCTTTTCGTAATATGAAAAAACCTCATGGGAGGTAATCAAATTTATCCCTTCACTTCGGGTTTTCTAGGTACTTACATGGTCCAGGTCCAGCATTTTGGTTGGGTTGGGTTCGGGAGGTTGTCGTACAATATTGGCTTCTCATGACAGAAAGGCAATAAAAGATGGGGCCCATTCCAAAGCAAAATCGAAACTGCGCAAGAGAACCACCCACCAAACGAACCAACCAATCCCATCACCAAATCTCACCTCCTTATCTTTCGTAAGCCTCTGTTATCTTCTCTCTGTCTTTCTCTCTCCTGCCTGGCAGAGGAACTGAGAAAATAGCATGGCAGCCACACTCAGCCTTCTGAAACTCCCTCTTCTTCCTTCAACGCAGCAGCATATCCACTCAAAGCTCCCAAATCCCTCTCGCCCATTTAGATCAAACCTCTTCAAAGACTCGTATAACCCAGAAAAGCTCATCTCTGAAAGCATCGTCCAGTTAAGATCAGCCTCTGTTCCCCTCACAGCACTGGCATTGCCCTTCTTTCTGGACCCCAAGGCAAGCCCAATTCGTCACTCGATCTGAATTAATTTCATTTGCTTTGCTGAGCGAGTTTTAACCTAACATTTTCACTTCATTTTCTTGTTATGTGATGTGATGGAGCAGGATGCAATTGCGGTGGGTGGGGAGTTTGGGATTTTGGAAGGAAGATCAGTCGCACTCATACATCCCATTGTGATGGGTGGGTTGTTTTGCTATACTTTGTACGCTGGCTACCTGGGTTGGCAATGGCGACGAGTACGGACATTACAGAATGAGGTTAATGAGCTCAAGAAGCAAGTAAAGCCGGTCCCTGTCACTCCACAAGGCACCCCACCAGCAGAACCCCCAACACCATCGCCTGTTGAAACCAAAATTCAGCAACTTAATGAGGTAGGTTGTTACTAGTACTACTTCGTATTTTATATGGTTGGGTTCCCATTTGTTTGTTACATAGTGACTTACGTAGGCTTATGTCTATCTTTTAACGATGAATTAGATGGAAAATGAGTCATTTGTTTTTTCAACTTCAGGAGAGGAAGGAGTTGATTAAAGGGTCATACAGGGATAGACACTTCAATGCAGGTTCAATACTGCTAGGATTTGGAGTTTTTGAGGCGATCTTCGGAGGACTCAACACATGGTTCAGGATAGGAAAGCTTGTTCCAGGACCTCATCTATTTGCAGGGGCAGGTAAAAACTGTTTATATAAAGTAGTTATTTTGTTTCTTATTGAGTGCAAATCATTGGTTTGAATTGGAAGATTATGCATTCCTATACTGGTAAATCTTTTGAATTTGTGGGTAATTGACTTTACTGTGTTGGTATGATCTTGTGAAACAGCTATAACAGTGCTATGGGCAGCAGCAGCAGCTCTTGTGCCTTCAATGCAAAAGGGAAGCGAAACAGCCAGGAATCTTCATATTGCATTGAATTCATTAAATGTTCTGCTCTTTATATGGCAGATTCCCACTGGGATTGATATAGTTTTCAAAGTTTTTGAATTCACCAAGTGGCCTTGAATTGTAAACATTCCTAGAGTGAGGTCTCGTGCTTCCTTAAAGTTAGGCCTCTTTCATTTTTATGTTCTTTTTGTTTTGATTTTACACCGTCACCACTGTAATTGTTCACCGTATGGTAGGAATAAGTACTTTTGGCACAAACTTATGAAACTGATTTGATACATTGAATATAGAGTGTACTTCAGCTTGTATGTTGGATTTTTGGTGTTAATATACACTATGTTGAGCCAAACTACAAAACAGCACTATTTCATGCAAGGATCCTCCTCTTGAAACAGACTTCTGTGTTTGACAATTGTGTGGAGTTGCTACGTAATGTAACTTAATCAAACCTGCTTTCTTTTTCTATATACAATGCAAAGTTCTCTTGTTGATATACGTCTTTTTATGGTTTATGACTGGAAAGGCAAGGTAAACGCTGTAACATTCCAACAAGGAATCAAACATAGACTAGAAGATTGTCATCAGCACTCCAGAGCTTGGTGGTTTTCAATGTGTACATTCTGGGAAGGTAGAAATAAGAGATAATTAAATTCTGCTGAAATCTGAAGGGTGTGTACAACATCACTTCCCCTACCATTCCTCCAGGGTACCTGTGCTCGAACAGGATCATCAACAGGAAAATTGGCATGTATCATGTTCAAAGTCCTACATACTCAACATCATCAACGCCGATGAACAGATTACATATTAGTATTTGAGAAATTGAAGATTGTTGAAACTTTGAACCTGGCATGAAAGCATAATACACGGCTTAATCGTGGTTCCACCTGTGGCAGATGAAAGAATTGAGATTTAAAAAGAAAAAAGTGCAACACAACTTGCTCGACTAATTTCTGTTTGGGTTTGTAGGAGGAGCCGATCAAAAAAAGGATGGACTATCTGGTATTGTGGGAACCAAATCATAATTCTTTTATTTTCTTTTGCTGCAGTAGGATTACAAAGAATTGATCTACTTTTTTTATAGATAAACTAGAGATTGAAGCTAGTGGCCTTGATGCTAGAAAATCAGGGTTCTTCTGTACATGGAGATTGCCAGATTGAACGAACAAAGAGGATCTGCAGCATTTATGTGGAAGACATCTTAAAAGTAAACAAAAGGGAAGAAAGAGAGCAGCAGCATAACACCTCAAAGAAGCAAAGTCAGAAGCTAGACAGATACAGCAACGGTACCTCAATTTCTTTTGTGAATGTCAAAACTGGAATCTCATAAAAGTAATTTTGTTTGTATAGATTGTCATTTACACAAATATGATGAATGTGTCCGTCTGTTAAAGAACATAGATTTTACACCGCTATTAGCAGAATGTGTGCTACTGGAAGGGACTGAGAATTCCGTTTTGTGATGAGTTGTGCATGAGCACTGAGCAGCACTACCAGCCGTAATTAGCACACTAAGCCACAGTGATGTGTGTGTGAGAGAGAGAGAGATGCCGCCAAGCTCACAGTCGTTGAACTTTGGTAAAACGAATTTCATGTGAGTCTAATGAAAGGCCCTTAAATGCACGGGCCCAATGAAGGGCGACTCTTTACACTTTTCCAAAGATTGAACCTATGTAAATATTTGATTCCAACCTTAACGAATCAGCTTTGTTGAGTTGTACTGTTGTTTTGCAGAATCTGATGCCTTTCTTATTCCTCCATCGCTCCCTCCATTTCTCCCTTCGTCTCTCTCTCCCTCTGCTCAGGCATGTTTCATGGTTGTGGGATCATAACTCTTTAAACTATAAATAAGAACATTCATGATCAGTCTTTCATACTTGTGTTCATAGCTGAGTTTGTTCCTTGGATACATATCCTTTGTAGGTTGTAGTACTCTTTCCAATCTCGATTCTATAAACATTATGGAAGGCCAGCAAGCCACGAGTCGTCCTCCATGGTCCCGGTTTTTTCTATTTGTTCGCCCAATAACCCCGGTCCCGGCACCGGCACCAGCCCCAGCTCCTACACCCGCACCAGCTCCAACCACTGCCCCAAGGGCACCATTTGCTAGACCCATAATTACCCCAACATTTAGGCCTCCAATTCGACCTCAAGAACCTGCCCCTCGACCACCACCACCACCACCAGTTGCTGCACCTCCTCCATTTGCCACTGCTCTTCCAACACGAACTACTGTTGCACTACCTGCTGCTGCTGTACCACCTCCTCCAGCCACCGCTTCACCAACAGCAACTGTCATGGCACCACGACCACCAGCTCCTGCATCATCTATTCCTCCCATTTCTCCACCACCACTGGCTGTTGTGGCACCACGGTCACCTGCTCCAGTATCTCCTCGTCCTGGTACTGCTCCACTACCATCCGCTGCTGTTGCACAACTGCTACCATCACCTCCTGCCACCACTCCATCTGTTCCAACATCGCCGATAAAGACTATGGTGGCGCCACCACCTCCTGCCGCCCCTGCATCTCCAATCAAGACTATGACTTCATTGCCAATCTCCCCTGTGAAGTCGCATATCTCCACGCCAACGCTACCATCACCACCACCACCCAGTGCTTTAGCTATTACTCGTGCTGCAACTCCTCCATCCTCCCTGAAAAGTGTCCAATCTTTGGTAAAAACACCACCCGAATCCCCCAGAACAAAGTCTATTTCCAATCCTCCATCTCCTCTAATCCTACCTTCCGCCCAAATGAAGCCTGAAACTGATCGTGAACCAAAGATAACAATTGAAGCTGAACTGAAATCTGTGTTGGTGCAAGAGACCATTGGTAAACCTAGGGCAATGCCTAAGAGCACCATTGGTTACAATGGGAGGCGAGAAGTAAGAAAGGATGTTGGAAACAAAGACAAAGGTAGCCCTAAGGCGCTTTCAGATTCTAAAGATTATGGGTTGAGGATTATAACAATTGCAGGTGAAAACAAAGGTGCTATCATGGAGTTGAGTCCTTCTCGCAAGACACATGACTTTGGCCTCAACTCTCGGAGTCTATCCAAGAAAGGAAATCCTGGATCCGGGAGTGACAACGAAAAAGCTGGAAGTGATTATGGCAGCGGTAGCAAAGAGGGAAGGTCCAAAATTATGGATGACAGTCATAAGACAACGGCAGTGAAGTCCCCACTCATGAGTGCATTCGTGAACAGTAACGTCCAGGGAGTGAACAACTCTATTGTTTACAACAGTTCTTACTCTCACCATGATCCTGGTGTCCACATCTTTCTCTCCAGAAAGGCCATTGCTGAAGGCGAAGGAATTATCCCCAAGGAGCGCATCAAAGATTGACAATGTTTAGAGGCAGAAACTGGGGGGGTAATCAAATTTTCATTATGTACTAAAGAATGTAATGGAATAAATGAGTGATGATGATTAAAAGGCGCCTTCGGATACTCCAAAGTTGCATTCCACTTCCCATGGAAAGTGACTGGAGAGAATTCTCGCCTTGTTAATGTTTAGTATGAGTTTTGTTGTAGTGTGAGGTAATGCTCTGAGCATTGAGCTGACAGCTTTATTAGTATTTGCTCCAAACTGATCCATCGATGCCCTACCTGTAATCCTTGTTATTTCTTCAGTTTATGGATTTAATAATCTTGTACCTGAATTCATGTTCATCCGCAATTAGTTCCTTTGCTGACTTGGTTTCATGCAATGCATGATGGATGCATGCAGAGGCATCTCTTACTGGGTTTTGACGTGTTAGGATGATCAATATCGATATAATATTATGCTGGGGATACCCCATTTGATGGCCGACCGGTCGACCACAAGTGCATCGCAAAACAGTTGGATTCATTGTATTAATCACTTATTGTATCCAACCCTGTTTTGTAAAATCTTTAGTCTCTGATATATCATATCAGAGAGACAATTGGCGAACAATGGCTGCTGTTATTTGAATTAGTGGGCTGGATTTTGGGCCTCTATAGCATCAGGTTGATGGGTGTTAACTAAGACGAGCGACTCGAATTCGATTTAAATAAAATTTGGCTCGAGCTTGATTCGTTTAAAAAAAAGAATCTAAAAGCTCTGGTCAAGTTGATAAAATTCGACTCGTTTATATATAAAATAGTCGAGTTACTCGAGCTGAAGTTAAATACAATTTTTTAAGCTCGTTTTGAAAAATAAACTCGTCAGGCGAGGATCAAACTCGCAAAAATCATTTTGATTAACACTCCTATCATTTGTTTGTCCTATCCTGTCCTTGGTATCAAAGTCATGGCGAGGCGCGTAACCAAATTTGTGTATGTGTTCGCTTTACTTACAAAATTGTGGTACTCCTTAGGACCCAATTTATGAAGTTAACTATGGCAATTTAGTTTGACTTACACGTAGTTCGATTAATCTTCTCTCCGGTTTAGTCAAAGATAGATTATCTACTCCGAAACTAGAGTATTCACGAAGGAAAAATCTCTCACGACCTGATTCTAAATGATTGCTAAAATTCTAATTCAGAATGCTACCACTTGAAGTACTTTGGGTTTATGTTTGTTTTTGAGTCTTGATGTAGAATTATTCAACCAAATTCTAAGGCATAAACTAGCCAGTAAAATCCATCCACTATGGCTTCCATATTTATGATCAGAGTATACGTAAGTAGGTCACCACGCTGTTTAAAGTTTTGCCTGTGCATTTGGATAACAGATATGATATCTACTGATGTGTGGGGCTCATCAAAAAAATGTGGTCATGACTGCTTTGTGCTCCCTCACCACTCTGGCCCAGTCCAATACAAATGGAAGAAACGATTTCGAAGAAAAAGAGATGGGGTCATGCCACATATTCCCTGATTAATTTGATGCAATCCCTTTGACCAGATAATTGGATACATTTTAAGTCACTATTCCCTTTCCTTCTTCTTCTTTTTTTTTGTTTTTGTTTGATCCTTATTCAAAATGCTATGTTGATGTCGAAATCGATCGGATCGGCAAGTCCTCTATAGGCAGATGGTTCAGCGATCGATGATCTGGAAGACAAAGAAAACAAATCCAAAGGGCCACGGTCTAATATCGATCGAATAGTTAGTAGAGAAAAAAATAGAGAAAATGATCATAATTTATAACAGTGAAAATTGAACATATTGGGTTGGGAGTTCTAAAAAAGCATTTTGCAATAAGTTGGAATATTTGGTGAGTCGATCTCAACTCAAAGCCCAGATTTTTTGGATTAGTGAATGCAAGGAAGACGAGTAGACAGATTACATTGTTTTTATATCATAATAATTTTGTGAGTGAAGAAAATGCACATTTTCTTTCCATTTCAATCTCATCTTTCTATTAAGTTTGAGTCAAAAGTCTTGGTTGCAATCAAAAGGACCTATGGTGGTGACCTGCCAGAAGATGTAGACTCGTCCTCCAATCTGCAAAATTAATCACTTTGCTTGCCAGAGAATCCAAAGAGCCGCCCCACAGAGAGGAGAAAGTTCAATGTGATGTTACTAGCTTTAAGGCAGCATCAAGGCCCATAATACCCAAACCCCATGCTCTCCCTTTTTATTTTTGTTACAAATAGACATATCACTAGCAGTCAAATTACAGCAACACCCCCCTACGAAGCACTTCATCTAGTCTTCTATAGTTATGTTCTGGCTTGCCCCAAATATTGTAAAAGATGCAATGGAATCATTCCCGGAGGAGATAGCTCACTTCATGGTGAGGTTGTTCGGATTAACTTACGCACATTTTGATTAATCTTTTTTTCGATTTGGTCAAAAACATACCATCTACTCTGGAACTAAGGTATTCACGAGAAATATATAAATTCCTCATGGTTTGACCCCCAAGGAGTTGTCAATATTCAAACTCAAGACTCCTCGTCACCACTTAGCTTCTCTTGAAAGTCAGTCAATTTGTATTTTTAGCACGACATGAAAATAATTCCAAGAATAAGTTTGCAAGACTCGAATAGTCTTTAGTATTAGAATTTTTTTTTTTTTTGTTGAATTTTCTCATTACTTATGAATTCAAGAAAAATTTACTATACTAAAGTAAGTCTCCCATTAATACATGGTGAACCATCTACCACTAGAAAAGATGTTAATTAGTCTAGTTTGTTTTTTTTTTTTATTGAAATAGATGCATTTTATTGGATGAGATAAAGAAAGACACAACATACATAGGAGCACATCAATCTGAGTTGATTTAATGTTTTTGTTGGAAAATGAATTACTACTTGTAATCCTATATCCACAAAAAGGCTTCTTTTCGAAATAGAAAGCGCAATCAATGTCGAATGTCAAGTGTTGTTAACTCACAATTGCTACCTAATAAAGTGTTGGCCAGGATTCAAGAATCTGTTTCAAAACAATCAATAACTACCTAAGCTTATTCATCAATACATTAGTATAATTTACTACTTACCTAAGCTTATTACCCCCGCAATGGGTAAACACATTCGTGCAATGCCCTAAATTTGCACACACACACTCTCTCTCTCTCTCTCTCATCCCACCTATGGAAAGTTAGTGTGATAATACTGTTTTTAAATGAGGGGTTGTTTGTTATCTCTGATATATTTGTTTTTAGTCCCAAATTTTGATGTCAAATCAATAAGCATTACAATTTCTTTCATAACTTACACACATTCGAATTCATATTTTTTGATCAATTTTAATGTCTTCACATTATTCAACAATATGATTAACGCTAATCATTTTCTCTATCACCAAAATATTCATTCTCAATTTAGAACCTTGAGTTAGAATCAATAAACCATGTAATCAATTTTTAGTGGCTTTTATTAACCTCTCTATTCTATTTACGATATGGTACAAATATATTTCTTGTATTATTATAATAGAAAATAAATAATGATTGACTGTAAAAAATCTCAAAATATCTCTCAATTCACTGCCACTAAATTTCTTGTGATAAAATCAAAATCAAAATCAAAACGATTCAATTAATTTTTTTTTAATTAATAATACCTTGATAATTTGAATATTGATTTATTAAATTAACAAGGGATTACACTTAGACAGGAGGGGACATGAACCGTACCCCTAGGATGCAATTTAAATTTGACCAAGGGTGGCTGATTAATTCATACACGCTCTTCAGTAATATGAAATCTTGTGTTTCTTGAGTCACAAAAAAAAAAGAAACACAATGAAAAATTCTATACTATAATGATTTTATGATTTATCAACCCGTGGGATGAGACGCTAATAAACTTTTAATTAAATGTTAATATTATAGTGACGAGGAGCTATAACCATTACATTTACTTTTCATTTCCATTGGGCTACGTGCACGTCATTTCGAGAATTTGGGCACGTCGAAGAAGCCATGGAGACGGAAACGTAGTGGTTCGTAAAACATGCCATGCAGTCCCAAAAACATGCCTCCTATACTCGAGGGTCCCTCGACATTGCAGTACACGTGGCATCATACAAGCGTTCCAAGTTTCCCCCCATTTGGCCCCCTTCTCCTCATACGAGAAAATATTCATTACAACACTTATTCTCCCTCACTCCATTGTCACTCTCACCCTTACATTTCAGTTTCAACCTCCTGCTAAGCCAAATTTTGAACGTTCACAGCAAAAACAAATGAAGGTATGATGTATGAATGGCTTATTGTAGTTAATTTTATGATAACAAACTCATATGAGTTGCATTTTCTATTTGTTTACATGTGTAGTTTTTGAAAATTCTCTCACATTGGTGTTTCTAATTTTTTGTTCATATATCCACAGATCTTCAACTGGGTGCACCGCAGGTTTAATCACAAAGGTACTGATCCATTTCTATATGTTTTTTCATCTTGATCAATACAATGCGATTGATTGCTCTCTCTCTCTCTGCTGACACTGCCAAGTTAGCGTTTGTCAACAATCTATAGACGTGTCCATTTGAGAACGTGTACATTTGAGCCTTGGTATTCGATGCTTTGGTAAATTTTTTATTTTTTCTCATCAGACGGATTTGGAGGAGATGTGAAGAAGTCCGAGTTTGTCTCTACTGGGACTGATAGGCAAGCCCTACTCGGACAAGTCGTCGTCCTTGCTGATGTGCTTGATGGCTGGAGGGAAGGTGTTCTCACTATTGGCACATTTGGGTTTGATCCATTAAAAGATTTCAATCAACACAAGGAGTGGCCGCCAATCACTGACAGAAGTACTGATAAAGACAATGAGGAAGAAGAAGACGAAGAACAAGAAGCATATTCCATTGACAGTGACTCTGAAAACAATGATTTGGAAGATGAAGCCAATCCACTGGTGTTTACAGCACTTAAACGGGGTTTGGGGAAAGATCACATTGGTTCAGATTGTGACCAAAATGGTCCCAAGTTGGTTGATCTGATCACTATAAACAACATCATTGACAGCATTAATCCTGTTTCTCCAAGACCTCATGATCAGGAACATGGTTTCAACTCAAACTTTTTGGAGTATGATAAGATGAAAAAGAAAGAGAGAACTACTCTTGCAGACTTGTTCTCGGCTGATGCTGATGCTGATGTGCACGCAAAGCCCGATCAGGTGAAAATTCTGCAAGAAATTAGTAAGAAGCCAGCTCCTCATGCCAAGAACGGCCTCTCATTTGCCAAGAAGCTCATTCCTCGAGTCGGAGAGGATTCGCGTCCCATCCAAAAACTTCATCGAGTGAGTAGATTATACCCTCTCTCTCTCTTGACTCTATGATTTTTCTGTTCAATAATTTGTCATTCCCAGATGATTGGAATATATGCTCTTAATGAGGTATTTGATTAAGTAATTCATGTATAGTTGATGACAAAAATGTTGAAGAGGAAGATCCATCCAGACCTTGAAGGCAAGATTCAAACAACACACAGTGGGACTAAGCCGAGTGTAGTGGGACTTGTTGTTGAGGAATATGAACCAAATGAATCAGTTTCTCTTCTTCAAACTCAAGGTAAGTTTTCTCCCGATTGTCTAAATTCCTGGGGAAAAAAATATTTTACTAACAACTCACGATAAGAGCATGCTCTGTGGATGTCAAATTTGAAAACCCCTCATGCAAGAAGACTAATGATACCATCTTATTATCATGTCGGTGATATCATGTTATCACGTCAACCCACAATAAATCATAACATAGGCATAGTATATCTCACACGATTAAATAATCATTCATGACTACCACATTGTATTAGGGAATTTCATAGGAATGTATGAAAATGTATTGTCATCTGTGATAACATGGTATCATCGTTACATTAAATATTTGTTTATTCATGTGTTATATTTGTGATATTTGATCCAAGGAGGTTTCCATAAGCTATATCTACAGTCATCCTTGAGCACTTTTTAGCTTTGCATTATGTTGATGCAACCTGCCCTTGCCCTTTCATGTTGCATTATTGATCACCACACAATACATCAATGGAAACAATTTTTTCTCCACACATCAAAACATCCCACATTTAATTTTCATCCTCATTTTGTTGTAGTAGGGTGCTTTATTTGTATAACTAGACGAAGGGTTAAGTCAATGTGCCTAGATGAGAGAGAAAAGCTGTCTCTATGTCATTTTCCTTGGGTATGAGATAACACTTCTCCAGCAATTAACGGGTCCCTCACACAAATAAATCGAAGATGATTCCAAGCAGAAACTTGACAAATTAGTTCTCCATAATTATTTTCATCTGCTTTTTTCTCACTCTCTTTTCCCCCAAGACACAATGATAGAATCAATCATACTATTTCATCATGCTATATACCTTACCTGGGCCGTACATGTCTGCCTTTACTCGAGACAGGCAAGGAAAAATGTTTCACACAAATGATCAACAATTGTTTCCGTAAGTCAAGGCATCAATTTATTAGGATGATCAAGCTAAGATGGTTGTTGTATATACTAATTTTCCTTCTTGATATGTTGCAGATGGTATCGTTTAACCCGTGCAGTGACCTCCTCCCAGTTATGCACACATGCATTCTCTCTGTCGTCGTGAAATAATCTTTTTTTCGTCGTAGACAATTATGTATCTTTAGTTCCATTTTTACGTTCGATTGAATCTAGTAAATTTGTTCTGTGTTCTCTTGGTTAATACTGTCATTGTAATGTGATGTGATGGAACCTTTGCTGTCATGAATATTAGGGCTTTGATTTGGTTATGTTTTGGCATATTGATGCATCTTTTCAGCTAATTATTGGACAGGAATTGCTAATTGGCCCTCATTAGTTGTCAAAACGTGAACAAAGATAGCCCTCGTAAGTTAACATATTTTCTCCTACCTTGCAAACACTTGTATTGTGTTTTTGTTATTTACCCTTGTCCATTACCTAACCTAACAATCATTAATTAAGTACTATGATTAGTCCATTGATTTTCCCCTCTTCCATCTCCTCAATCATTCCCTATTCTCATTACCCGTTTGGCTTCACTAAAACTTAACAACAATAATAATAAATTAAAAAAATAAAACTACCAACAACATTAATGTATGCTTTTACAAGATATATACAGATTTGGGTCCATGGGATTTCTTAATTGAACAATCAGCTTTCCGAAAAGTAAAAATGATTGCATATCAAAAAAGATACAAAAGCATGGGCATCCCCATTGTATTTCAAAGTACAAAAAAACAAATCTGTGGGAGGTGTGAGCAAGTAGCTACACCTCAGACAAATTTGTCAAAAAGAAAGTTTTCATATGAAGCTGATGATGAAATTAGGAAGTTACACAATACACTTGCTTGAGAGTCGTAGTTTTTCAGAAATAACGAGATTCAGCTGAGAGCTTTTGAATTTTAGAGATGCAAGTCTGTCCCTTACAGTTGTAGCATGACTTTGAAGATAGTGCTTGGGTCTTTTGCCTTGCTAGCGAAAATTCTGGTGTTTCTTTCCATCCATAGGATGGTGGATAGTAGCTGAAAGACACAACTTTTGAAGGACTGTGAATAATGACTTCCCTTTCCAATGAAGTGGAGCCCATGAGACAAAATTAGTCCAAGGCATCCATTGCCAAGAAAAGTTAAAGTGTTGGGTGAGCAAGCTCCAGACTCTCTTAGAGTATTAGCACTCAAAGAACAGGTGAAAATGAGACTCAATACCTTCACCACATAACACACACTCCAGGTCCTGGTAAGGGGCATAAACATGAATTCTATCCTTTATTTTGAGCCTTTGCCTGATTGCAATCCAAAGGATGAAACTTAGTCTAGGAACAATTTAACTATACCAAACAAGTCCATGCCAAGGGACCAGCTCAGCTTTTGTTCTAAGATGTTCCCATGCAGATTTTGAAGAAAATAAACCATTGGAGGTGAGGGACCACTTGACTTTATCAAAAGCATTCTGGTTTGGCAAATAACGGTGCATGGAGTTTGAAATTTACAAAGCTTCACCTGATGGATGTGGTGGCCATCTCCATTGATTGTAATGAATGATGGTGCTGACTTTTGTTGCCCTTGAGGTATTTGTGGACTGGAGGATGAATGATCAGCTTTCCTTACAAGTTACAAACAACTTTCTAATGCATGCAGAAAGGCTTTTCCTTCTTTGTCTTTCTCCCCCCTTTCTTTCCAAAAGAACAGTTTAAAATTCTTTATTCACCTCCTATCAATCCAACAATACTTCATCTTTGGAAAATCTTAATTCTAATCATCAGATTGGTAGGACGAATAAAAAATAAAAAGAAGAAAAGTAAAAATGATTTTAAATCTCTCCATTCTCAAATGAAAGAAACATCATTCCTTCTTTCATGTTTAGTAAGATCGAGGGATCGAAATGAGGGATTAATTAGTTTATATTTGGTGCGGATGAAAAAGTTCAAAAGGAAGAGGGATGTCTCCATTTGTTCCTTCCTTCCACTTTTTCTTTCTATTTAAGCATAATTTTTATCAACCACCTGAAATTTTTATCCTCCCACTAAAGAACCATAACATACGGATATTGTTCAAGTCCTAACCAAAGTAGCTTAATGTAATGGCCCTCCAATTTTAAACTTTAATGTATCTTTTGCAAAAATAATAATTACAATAATACTATTCAGGATTATATAATCTAACATAATATAATTTGAGTAAGTATATCGCACAATCTGATACCCACCAACAAAATTGTTTAGGTTCCATTTGGGTAAGAAGGGAGTGCATGAACTCTATTACCAGCAGCTCCATGTCAAGTAAAGAGAAAAATGACGATTGAATGCCTAAATATTCATGGCCACTTTCCAGTTTTCAGATCTACATAGGAACTCATAAGCCACAACAAAGGGTATTTAAGTAATTGCATGTTTTACAACAAACAGCTTTGTAAGATAAGGCTCGAAGCCTCGAATACATTTCTCGAGCCCAGTAAGGATGAAGGGGCCCATCCACTGGGCCACCCCTAGGCCTGAGGCCCTCGAAACTGCTGAGATATAAAATGGTTGTTGCAACTGAAGTAGCCATCTGAGAACGGACATACATAGGATACGACGGCCGGTTTGAACTTTGAAGTTTGAACATTTTATTCTTCACTCTCGTCGAGCAAAAGCATCCAAATTTCTAGCCATCGTCACACTAGAAGCCAATTGTCTTCGTTTTTCTCTCTACATGTTGTAAATTGATTCTACCACTGAAACATCTTTGATCTTTTTTTGGTGGACTCAGTGAGCAGAATGAGTTCGAATCCCCTGGTTCATGCGTGTTTGAGGAGAGGTAGCAAGGCACAATCATAAAGGGGGATTGTTGGGTCATTATCTCTGGCAAGGTCAGTTTGCAATCTTGTATGAACATATCTTGATGACGGGGTAGAACTGAGCGTTGTGAATTCGAACATATGTGTGAATTCGAAATGTATGCGTATTGTTGTTGATTGTGGTTGAAATTGAAGAGTGCTGAGATCATTATTGTTTTTCTCTAACATGTCAAAAGTTTGTTATTGTGAATTAGAGGTTGGTGAAAAGACGAAAGTTCTTAATTGAACTACTCGCAGATATAGATGAAGATAGCTGCTCCCACAGCAAAATCTATAGCCCCAGTGAAAATATTAATAAAATATGAGTGGACTAATTTTTAAATTGCTAAAAAAGAAGCTGGCAATCTACCTAAAAACATTCTGTTCAAAAAAAAAACTACTTAAACTTGTATAATCTTTCTTAAATGAGTAAAATTCAGAGTCATACCTCTCTATAGACTTTAGAGATGCCAAAGGGTACTCCTTGTAAACATCTGTATCCCTTTCCTTCTAACTGCTCAGAAAATTGAAGCAAACATCTTTACAAAATCGTTTGTACTATTTCTTGTTAGCTATTGAGGCAAGGGTATTTCTGCCCGTTTTGTTCTATTCAAGGAAGACAAATCATAGTGGCAAATCTTTGTGAGACTATAGTAAGTGGATGACCACATTATATATATATAAGACTAGGATGACAATCATGATTGTAATTTCTGATGTAGACAGGGGAAAGGAAGTTTAACACGCAAAACGACATGTCATCTTGGTGTTATAAGGCACCTATTTGTGCACTATGAATACATTATAGGAAGCCCTTTCTATGATACCTGGTACGCCCGTATCCATTTCTCTACTGATCTATATACTTTTTCTTATCCCTATTCTTGTCTCATCTGCTGTTGCTAATACCTGAGTATATTGCTATTAAGTTTTCTGATGCATATCAGGCTGCCTATGGTATTTGGAAAATTGAAAAAACAAACCATAACAATTAAAGTACAAGTTGTATGCTAGCCTTCCAATTAGATCAACCTGAAGGTTTGACCTATCGGTAACCACACTTCCAAGGACTAATCTGACAAGCATCCCAAAACGAGCAACCAAATGAAAATAGACATGAATAACTAGTTTAAGAAGAGCACCTTATTTTGAACTTTATTGTTTCTTATCGATTAAAACATGGGAATCAGTCATGTTTTGTTTGCATGTATTTAGTTTTCTTTCCAAGTCGCGATCTATTGCACAGATGGGGTGGGGAGTCTTTGTCAAAGTTTTAATACAAAAGACCCAAATTGTTTGTTAGATCATTGTCACTGGCTCCATGTCCCATAACTGTTCCAATTGCATAAGCCAAACGGCCAGCACAACCAATCAGCACTGTATGCATAACCATGTTGTTGTTGATCTTTCTCTATTTGTCCCAGGTCACAAAGGCTCGAAAGATAAGGAGCACGGGCAGCACAGTATTAGCACCAGTACCTTTAGATACTGCAGATAGTTTACACATCATGTATGTATATTCATCCCTACCAATTGTAATTAGTCTCACTTCATTGATATTCACTCTCAACATTGATCAAAAGTTTTTCCATCATGGACAATTAGAAAATTTATATGTAAATATTGGCGAAATTATATCACCCTAAATACAAGGACACCAAAAATATATGAAGTACCCTTGTATTTTTTGTTATCTATAAAAGGCACAGCTCATATTTACCCAAAAAATTAATTATGATCAATGCTAATGATAATATATTACTATCATACTTTATTCTCCTAACAACAGAACAAGGTGAAAACTGGCAAAGATTATGTGATGGTGGAAGAGCAATGCTCCCCAAACTGGCCAAGAGTATGCAATTATTTATGGCATGGAATGTAAAGTACAAACAAATGAAAAGGGATTATTGATCATCATGATATTACTACCATACAATTAACATTGACTATACTTTAATTTAGTCATCAATAAAAGACAGCAAAACCTGAAAATGGTAATACGAAAACGTTAATAAGGTGTTGACAAGTATGTGACACATGACAATTTGTCGGTTGTAAAACTTTGGGCTGCAGCATCTCGATTGATGAGATTGTTGGTTTTCATTCATGAGATCAGTTCAATTGCATGTGTAGGTTGCCATTATATTAGGCACTGATTATTAAACACAAAAACAGAAAATATATATAACTCATCTCATTTTGTACTGCTCGTTCTCTCTCTCTCTCCTGTTTCTTTGTAACCTGATACTCATCCGACTAATAATCTCAGCCTTAATCTGCAACTGGGCAAGCCAAACGTGCATCCTGTTTTCTCTGTTATTACATAATTAACAGTGTCATTACTTACGAAGAATCACCTAGTACTCCTACCCTTCCACACTAGTGATCTTCAATGGAAAAAAAATAATGAAATCTTAAAAAATTAACTTAATTTGTTGACCTACGGTAATGATTATGTCATGGTCCAATAATATTGTTTTGGTGATAAGTGCTAAATTTTTTTTTCTTGAGACTGAATAACTTATCACATCATCATTAAGTGAATAAATTAGTTTGATTTTTAAGTCTCAATATTATTACTAAAAAAATGAAATATCTAAGAGGCCTATCCCACTGAATGTAGTCTATAGTCCACTCATAATCAATTACACAACCATGCAGGAATCGATGCATGTACTGGACAAGTCTGCTCGAGAGAGAGAGAGAGAAGGGTTATGGCTGAAACTTGTTTTTTAGAGTCACCTTATATGTACATAGTCAAATACATCAAGAAACCTTGATACTGAACGGTAAAAGCCACCGACAGAAGAAAGAGAAGAAACTAGATACATATTAATAGAGAATTAAGATTTTAGGACCCCCTTTCCTTTTTTTACACCTTTTCGCTTCCTGCTCCTTATTTCTTTTGCATACCTCATAATTACATTCTCCAACGCAATCAACTTGTGATCATATACGCCTTGGTTGAATCCTAACCGCGAGCGGCTTAGCCATCTCACAGGAGAGCCTCAGCACTTCTGACAGGTCCACTGTATTCTTCTGATCTGCTGGACCCCACTTGTACTCGTGCAATAGCGACGCCACCCAAAAAGTAACCGTGGTCAAGCCCAAATTCTTACCTGGGCATATTCGCCTCCCTGACCCAAACGGTGCGAGCCTCAGGTCAGAGCCCAACACTGAAAACTCCATACCCTCCGCCCCAGTCACGAATCGCTCGGGCTTAAATGCAAGTGGGTCCGCCCATACCTCTGGATCCCTTGTAATGGCCCACATGTTCACCATTGCTGTGGTACCCATCGGTACGTGATACCCATCAACTGTAGTGTCTGTAATCGCCAATCGGGACCAGGAAAGAAGTGGGCCCGGTGGATGGAGCCTTAACACTTCCTTCACCACTGCCGGTAGATATACCATTTGGGAGATATCGGACTCCGTTACTGCACGAGACCTCCCAATGAACCTGTCCAACTCACCATGGACCATTGATTGAACATCAGGATGAAGTACCATCCTTGCTAGTATCCACTCAATCAAAATCGCCACCGTATCAGTTCCTCTAAATACCATTTCCTGCAGCCACATATGATCACAGCATTTAAGTATGGTTTTAGAAGTTATATATACGTAGACGTTTAAATATATTTACAGACTATATATAGAGGTAGAAGTGTACTAAAATTAAGGTGTTACATGCAATGCAATAGTAACCATAACAAAGGTTCAATAGTTCAGATTTTACTCCTAGGCCACCAAGTTGTCACGGGTTTGCCATTTTTCAGTACTTAAACACTAGCAAGCTCCCTTGAAAATGCTAAGTAAGTGACAAAGTACTACTAATACCGTCAACCCTACACTTCAATAGACTACACACCCTTTTCTTTCACAATTAATTTTTTAAACCATCAGACAAATCCATAAAAGCTATGTTAAGAAACTTTAAGAAATGACAAATCTAACATTCTAAAAATTGAGGACGATAATTGCTTAGTTGCAGTATTTTAGCATAGAGTAATTGGATAGCAAACTAGTTCAAATTAAATTTTTTTTTTTTTTTAAAGCACCAAAAACGTTCCACATTCTATGGAATATATGGGTGTGTTTGCGTGCTTACCCAAAGAACGGCGATCATGTCGGAGTCCGAAAGTTCATCACATCCTTCAAGAGAAAGCAAAACATCAACGAAATCGTAGTGTAGGCTGCCAGTCTGAGCTCGGTGCTCGGCGATAATCCTGCTAACAAACCGGTTCACTTTGGGGACAAGTTTGAAACACCTGAACCGGATTTTCTGTGGGTCAAAATCAGCTAGCCAAGGAAGGGCATCGGACCAGTTGAACGTACCCAATAGCTGGTACGCTTCATCAACTAACTTCGTCAACTCATCCCTCTCTGCGTGGTGGGAATGGTACGATTCGAATCCGTATTTGCGACCAAATATAGAGCACACCATGTTGTTTAGTGAGGCTCGTTTCAGTGCATCACGAGCTCGAATGACTCCTTTGTGTTCACCAAACATGACCACCATTTGATTTGCGATTTCGAACCTTTGAGCCTCTGATTCTTTGATTTGCTTTGGACAGAAGAGATGTGTGGCTGCGATTCTCCGAAGGGTTCGCCAGTAAACACCATAAGGAGCGAACCCAATAGCTCTGTTGAACATGAGAGTGTAGGCTGACTCTTTCACAGGACGATCCGCAAACACCCAACTGTTGAGAATTTCTTTTGCAACATCTGGATTGCACGTTACAATAACTCTTGTTTCCCCGGCACTGAAGGCCATGAGACGCTTGGCCTCACAAGCTTCAGCTATGGCTGCAATTTTGCGGTGTGATAGACCAACCATGAGGTTCATGCTCCCAATAACAGGAACACCTCTTGGACCTGGAATAATAGGCCGCTTACCCATGGTCATGGAAGCTGAAACTGTGCCTTTTCTGATTCTCCACCTATATTTGCCCCAAGCTGGACCACCTGGTTGTGCCCAATAAATCAAGCTGACGACTAGCAAAGCTAGAACAAAGGTCAGCACAAAATATATGGAGTTTAATAATGAAGTGAAGAAGGATTTGCACGTGGAAGTGGAAGCTAGGGCAAAGACCCAGAGGCTTTCTATGTCTGTTCTCATGATAGTGGGTAAAATATGAGATCGTGACTACGAGGAATTAAAACTGACACAGAAGCTAGCTATTGGTTTCGATGGAAGAACGAGGAGGCATTGGTGGGTATATATAGGAAGCTCAGCTAAGACAAGTGAGTGGGAATAATAACCCCTATAAGCCTATAACTACAAGTAGGACCGTATAAGCGAAAAAGTGTTGATATCTCTCTCTCTCTCTTTATATATATATATAGATTATAGTTGCATTATTAAGGGGTGGATTAAGGAGTTATAATAAATTAAATTTTTTTAATTTAATTTTATATTATATTTAGTTGCACAAAATATGATGTATTATATATGTAGTCTTATTTCAAATGTTTATCTAAATAATACACTTTATCCGTTCTATTAAGGCGATAATAAAATTATAGTCTAGTTTAAGTGTACTAAGTTATAAATTTATTATTTTATCCATAAAATAAACAAAAATATTAATAACTAGATAAAATTAATAATTTTCTAGTCAATATGTAATTAAAACTATTATTCTACCTCTATTTAATGTCTTACTAAATACTGGATTACAATGAGTATTAACTTTATTTTATTTAATCTTGTGTTTTATTCACTTATACAGAATTAGTCCATATTAACTAAGATAATCATTTCTTTTACTATATGGCCACCAAATGAGCTCTATGCATATATGGTCTAACTACGTATGAAAAATAATTTTTTGATATCATAATTCTTATTTTTTTATCAACTAAAACATAATACGCTTAAAGTTTTAAATTTTATTGTTTTTTAAGATTAATTATTACAAATAAATTAACACAAAATTAATAATTTATAATAAAATTGAATAAGGTACTAACTGGATAACATAGTCCTCTCCTGGAATAAAAATAATATTGTGTTCGCAAAAATATTTATTAAATATTGAATTAAAAATGATGCGGCATATTTTAGTGATTCGATAGTTAATGAGAGTTGATGAGATATCTTGATGATATAATTCATTTAAAATTTGATAAAAATTTTTATGAATGTGATAATATATAATATGGGTTCGTTTGATTGTCGTATTAAAAATGAATGGATATTATAAAATAATCAAGTCTAATACAATACAACGGGACAAAAAATAAGATCAAATAAGGTATTAGAATAATATGTAATTTTATCTACTGTTGATAGTACACAACATAAATGTAGGATTGTAGTTATTTAATTCAATCGATTGTTTGGTTAGACAATTATTTCATCATATTAATATTGAATTAATACAAATACACTTAATCAATGTTTGTTATATTGATGATAACTTGATTTTATCTGTTGGAGTGTTTATGATAGTAACTGTGTAGAATAATACGTTTAAGTTGGATTATAATACCACCTCTCTTGGTGGTATTAAAATCTATATAATAAAACAACTAGGTGTTAGAAATTTTATCCCATACATATTCTTCTCCCAAAAAAAAAAAATCATCTCATAATCTATTTCAATCACATGTTTAATCATTTAATATTTGATTAATTTGTAGTTTAACATAATTTTTATTTTAGAGATTATTCATATACTATAGTATACACATGTTAAAAAAAATTTATTGAATTATGTATTTTCGTCTATATTTTTAAAAAAATAATGGATAAAAATAAATTTTAAATGATGTAATCAAATAAATAAAGGAAAAAAAATTATTATTTAATACAGTGAAATCGATTTTTTGAATGTTCAAATTTTATATTTCATTGTGCCTTCAGACACGAGTTCTGACTAATATTTTTATAATACAAGTCTGTCGCATAAAAAATATAAGATAAATATACAATTAATATACATTTTTTTAAAATTAATACGATATTAAATTTATTTATCAAATAAAATATTATATCCGATTAAATAAAAAATAATATAATTTAATATTTAATCTTGTTAATAAAAATTTTGAGCAGCGCCGCCACGAATCTAAGATGAATTGACATTGAGGGGCGTGAGATGAACAGTCCAATGACCGGAGGTTGCGTGTTTGGGTTTTCAAAAGGCCTAATACATAGGCTTACATAAATTATGTAGAGTGGTCCAGCGGGCTGGAATATTAGCAAGGATCGCGATCTAAAAAGAGTTAAAAATAATACAGGCACTACAAAAATACAAAAAAATTGTATATTGTATTAGTTTGTATTGTTATTTATTTTTAAAATTCATCATTTTATTTTTTGAATTTTTTATTTTTAATTACTCCAATCTAATTAGAAATAATATTTTTTCAAAAAAAATTGACTAAAAAAACATAACCTTGTGTCTTGAGTGATCATACTTACTAAATTATTTTAATTATTTAAGTCTTTAATTTTTCTAGTAAAATGTCAAGTTTTGAAAATAATATCTTGAGTAATGAGTAACTTTGAAGATGTATGCCATCTATCATTATTGCTATTTTGTTTTTTCATATGGAGATATTGAAACTGAAAGCAAGAGATAAACGTAATTTTAGATTTTATTCTTTCAGCTTGATACTTGAATGTGATTAGAGCGCAGGTGCGACAGTGAGGGAAAGGGACATCTAGACGCGAAAACCTTACTTAATGGTGGTTGTGGGTGGGAGCGCGTGATGCTGACAGTTTCCAGAGACAAAATCTAAATATTGGTGCAGTTCATTTAGGAGATTTGGTATGTGTGCCACGTACGTGGGTTTAGTGTGGCGGGAAATTTGTCGGGGCCATACAAAGGGGTGCACCATGATGAACAACCCATTGCAATTGCATTGCACCAGCGGGAGTGACTCAAATCCCTCTAATTTTTTTTAATATATTTTTTAATTAATATATATCAGTATTATCATAATGGAATTGAACTGATTCATCAAACTGATGAATCGGGACCGGTCAAAGACTCAATATAAACACACATACACATAAGTCTCCAAATGTATGCAAATTGTCACACCTCCTTAATTGAATTAAAAAATTTTAAAAAGTAAAAAAATCTATTTTTTATTTATATTACTAATTAATTGTGTTAGGCGTAACTTTAATTTTATTTATTTATTATTCATATTAATCATTTATATTATTTTTTATTTTGTGATCCGTATGGTTGGTAAAATTAACACTGATATTGGACAGGGTATGAAAAAAAAATAATATTATAAAATTTAAATGAAACTAAAAAAATTAAATTTTAATCAGGATGATAAGATGAACAGAAAGCTGGAATTTTGAGATTCACGGAAAAGGCCCCACCACTAGTTATTTGATAGATGGCTGGGCTTGTTATCATTGACGTCAAGAGTAATCCCTGTCCGTTGATTTTTGTAATGCGTGAGCTACTGGGTGGGCCAAATGAATTGAATCTACAAGATTCTGGGTCGTTTGGTAATGTTTTTATTTTCGTGTCTTTAAAATAATTAAAAATATAAATAATTTTTGTCTCTATTTTGTGATAAACAATGAAACAAAAAACATGTTTGGATGTCATTTTTGTCTATCAAATTATGAGAATAAAAAACAAAAAACATGTTTGGTACCTACTTCACGTTTTATCTTAAATATGTTTTTTTTTAGAAACACCAACCAACCAAACCACAATGGATAATCATAAAACACGAAAAAAAAAAAAAAATTCCTCAACAAAACATATATATCCCAACGATTTCATGCTACTACCTTAAAAAATCAAATTCATCACTTTCTTGAAGCATGCTATTAATTTAATTGGAACCCAGCCTTGATCATTTATGTTTTCCCGCAAGAATGTATCGTTAATTAAATTGTCACTGTTGAAATAATATTCTATCTTAGAATGCAACTGGGGATCCGAAACATGAAAGAACATTTTTTTTTAAAATAAAAGGAAAATTTTATTGATAAAGAAGTAATTTTAAGAAGCAAAAAGCAATCTGTTTTAAAAAAAATTTCAAAAAATGGCTTTAATCCTTCAAAATGATTAAAACAAATTTTAACTACATTTTTGCATCTTCTAATCTTCACAGTTCAACTCCTAGCTCTTTACAGTAGACAACACCCTCTTCCATAGCAAACAGGTCCTGATGCAGATTTAATCAATTGCACACTCTTCAATTCCAGCTACTAGTAACTCCTTGAGACTAACAACATCAATCTCAGATGCAGATAAGAATAGTACCAGCCCAGACTAATTGCAGAAAAAGACAGTCAAATAGGCAGCAACTGCCAAATCCATGCAATCTGCCCCTTAACTGAACCATTAAAGTGGCAGAACACCATTTACTCTGAAAACCCTCCACCTCCTTTTGCAATGAGTAACTTGGGCTGATCCAACATTTGCATCATCCAATCCCCTGCCTTTGATCACAGACAACCAGAAAATCTGTTTAACAGAAAAAATAGAAAATTGTTAAGAAAACATATTTTCTGTTTCCTAACAGAATTCTGTTATACTACAACCGATAGTCTAATTAGAAGGAATATATAATATTGTTGTTATGGCCTCCTCCAATCCTCCTTCATCAAGCTGTCCAAAAATCAGCTTAAGCAGCAGCACTGTAACACCACCCAGACAGCATCACAGTCTGGTAGATCCCAAGCAGCAACAGATCAACAACAGTGCAGTTCCTGTTAACAATTCTCTCCTAGATGCGATAGTTGGCTTTAATCCTTCAAAAAGATTTAAACCAAACACTTATCTTCCACAGACCAACTATCCAGCCTTTAGAAACATATCTTCCACCCCTTGCAATTCTTTGCTCACCAAAAACCACCCCATGCAGTTAATTCTATACCAAAACCCACTCCCTACATGAGAATTGAGGTCGTAGCTACTGAGGTATAAATGGAATTTCATTAATTTTTCGAATATATTGAAGCTTTGAATAAATTACACAAGATTTTATTTCATGAATACAATGTTAACTTTCTGCAATTTAGATAAAGCTAGTACATTGCTTAGACATACAAATTTAATCTATTACTCTAAAAAAATTGGAGACACCTAAAATTGTGCCACACCCTGATTGAAATTGGACAACCTAAGTTGCAAAAAGAACACCACCCAAGGATGTGGGCATGCCTTAACTTAGGGTTGCTTGCAGGCATCCAAGACAATACTTAGATGGGCAAAAACTACCTCAAGAATATACTGTGAGTGGATAGGCTACAACAAGTGCTAAGGTTGAGCCTCAACATAGCAGAA